CTCTCTCCACTGCCCACAGACAAAATTGCACGCTTTTAGGCTAACACTAACAATGTCAGTAGTAATAGATCTAGATCTAGAATGTTTGTTCACAGCACAGAATTCTATAATTCTGTTATCACAGTGTAGAATTCTGTGGTTCAGGGTGAACGCTTCACTGGTTGGCCTAGGCAAAAACGGTGAACGCCCACCGGGTGAGAATAGCCGAAAGACTCGCCTGCGCTATTCTCATCCGGGGTGAGAATAGAGGTGGCCAAATAAGAAACACACTACAGGGGCACTAAGTGCAAACGGGGCCGCAGTTGTACAGGAGTGCCTGCATCCTTGATCCGATACTGCTCTGAGTCTACGTCTATGTACAAGTTTAAAGTGAAAGAAATCTTTTGAGACACCAGCTGGCAAAAAACGCTGGATTTTTAGTCACCAAGTCCAAACTGTGTCAAATTGACTCGAATGCTTGTTAGTCAACTTACTGCCTGTCTGGGGTTTTTGTGGGTTTTTTTCAAGTACATTTTAATTCAGTTGCCTATGGTTAACAATATGACAGTTTTCCCTTCCAAAACCGTAGGCTAGATTTTCCAGTATATATTGCCTCTGGATCTCGCTGATTTCGGAGAGCGCGCGTACGCCTTCGCGTGAATTTCCTCCTTAAAAAAAATTTCTGAGTGGCAGCTATGATACATTAACTGATCATCTTCCAATGGCAATATAATGCATCCAAACGGAAGGAAAACAGTCTGTTTCAATGCACAATGCAGGTCGTAAAGAAATAACTTAATATGTAAAACAACCAAAGGGCCTAGAAGCCACACTATCAATGCCAAATAACAAAAAAGCCGATATTGCTCACTGAAACGGACTGCACAAATTTGGTCTGCTTCAGTGCGCAACCCACTCGGGCGGTGTTTTGCGGCTCTTGGTCCAGCGAGGCCAGGTCCGCGAGCCACAAAGTAGGGAAAGTGTTAAACACCAAAGGCCAAAAATATACACAGGACACGGCGTCACTTTTAGCCCAATTCTGTTACTTTTAGTTAGCGTGACTCAGCAGCCTGCCGGAGCTCCCCGGCTCGGGGCCACGGGGTTAATGAGCCCTGAAGCGACTTTGCCAGTGTTGGTTAGGAAGTTCACATTTTTGGCTATGTTTAAAACAATATAAATTCTTCCCCATCCCACACAGCATACCATTATGATTACGCGGATGTACTAAAAGCTCAATGTCTTGAGATTTATTCTGCGTTAGAATGGTTAATTTCTGTGCCTTAGTTTTTGTTCTAGACAAGTGGTTGTAGAGTACCAAATTTGTCCTATTTTTGTTACAAACTTATGAATAAATGATTGTTAATTTAAAAAAGGCTCGACAGATCTCTCCAAAACCTGTGTTAAACTGACTACGAATATCATGTCTTTTACCTTGAGAAATCTTAAATCTGCGCGAGTAGCAATAGTCAAGTTATAAGAGAAGAAATATATATGCACATCTGCATTTTTTAACTAAAGACGATCAGCGTTAGCTCTTATTTTACTATTAAACAAGAGAAAGTTACTCTGTTGTTGTTCATGAACCATGCTGTGTCTGTGGCAGCCGCATACAACTAAAAAGATTCAGGGTCCCCACCAGATCGGGGAAAAAGTCGGGAATTTTGAAATGGGTCGGGAGGACGGGAAAAAGTCGGGAATTTTGTAATGGGTCGGGAAAGGATAGGGCCTGTGTAATGTGTAGCTATCTAGACTGTATGGTTGATGAACCCTGAAGAGGAAACGTAATTGAACCACTGTGGCGGAAATGTATGTGTGACACCGAGGCTCGATTGGGAAGAATCAAGATCTACTTTCGCTTTCGTTACCGTCCAGAAATTTTCCGGTAATAGTCTGATAGATAACGCAACATTTGTAACATGCAGGTTATGCATTATGAACGCTGTGTCGCCTTGAAAATAAATCAATATTAAAAATTGCCCTCTGCTGTCGCTTGTGGAAAAAAAAAAAGAAAAAGAACTTATGCAAGCGTCTTGACTTCTTGACAGGTTCGCCCTCGTGACCGGTCAATGAACCTGTGAGTTCCGGCGGTCTGGGCGCTGTGAAGTATAGGACTCCTTTATAAGATACACTCGTGGAAGGGGATTGGGGGGGGGGGGGGCCTGAAGGCAACGTTAGAGGACAAAAAGTGAACTTGGAAGCAAATTTTTAGCATTTTGGTAACTACTTTAGAGCTCTCTGCAAAGCGCGCGTTGGTGCAGGCCTTGTGTGGAATCGAGATCCGTCATGCCTTGTAACTGTTATTGAACTAAAGTGTTCGCGTTTAATTGGATGGGGTGATTGTAATTTATATCTATATTTTAGCTTTCTGTTCAAGATTGGCAGATTTTCAGTGTCACTGCATCTTGCCCTCCCTCAGTTCTTACACCTCTCATACTGAATAGGTGTACTTGAGCCATTCTAGTTATTACTAATATTACTCTACTTTGAGTTTGAGCAATAGTTTTCGTCTTCACGTTTATTATATGAATCATGACACCCAGACTGGTTATTGACAGTCGATATTCTAGTTCTAGGTCTTTTCTCAGGCTCAAAACAGGATTCATTTTTTATATAGGGCCTATAGTTTGTTATGTTGGCTAATATGATGAGGGGAAAATATAAATAAGTAAGAACAGACTGAAATACCAAAGTCTCTCAAGATCCCAGTGCCACACTGACATGTTGTTGACTGGATATAATGTATCTTCATGTGTGTGTGTGTTAGGCTTACCCATTGGTCAACTTGGATAAAAACATTTATTGGAGGGACTAACAATAATGACAGGTAAATGAATTGTGACGTCCACAGCGTGAGGGGCCGATTCAAAATTTATGTCAAAGCGTTGGGCAATGAGTGACCACGCCTGGCTGCCTGAAGCAGGTAAATTTGACTGTGGGTTGATAAAATAAGGTGGCCACAGCCGCGTTGGTCAGTTTACCATTTTACACAGCTTAATTATTTAGAATAAACACAAGGTGTGCAGTGTAAAGTAGCCGTTTGTACAGATGACCGTCATGGCAGGTTCCACTATTTATACATCACTGTCATCAATGTCCAAATCAGACGTGCTGTATTCAATGGTCTGGATCTCAAGGTATCAACCTTATTTTCACAAGTCTCAATCTCTAACCTTCCCAAACACGCTGGTGAAATGAGTCGGGGGTCTGGGATAGCCGAACTACCTCGACTTTAAGAATACATGCCGCATACAATTCAGTGTTAGGCGGGTGTACGCAGACCTTACAGCTTGCTTGTTGTATTGACCATGGCTGTGATTTCAGAGTTGTGGAGAGAGGATTGTTTGAAATGTTTATTTTGTATGGCCTAGATTACTTATGTTTGTTGTTTGTATTGTAGTGGAGGGATGGACTTCCTAGTGTGGTATCAAATGACATCAATTTATCAATAGAGGCATGCATGCCTAAATATCCAAAATTCAAACTCATCAAATAGCCTAATCTCTAGTATTTCCCTAACGTAACTGGGTAATGTAAGTTAAGGTATACAATCAATGATGAGAGTAGTATCCATTTTATTCTCACCCCAGGTGAGAATTGAATAGGTCTCTGCCTGTAGGCTAATTATATTGTTACTCTCGCCCGGTCTGAGTATTCAGTGGATTTTATTATCACCTGGGTGTTTAGAACAGGTAGGCCTAGCCTAAATACATGTCATAGGAGGATAAAAATTTGTGAAAGAAGAGAACTGCATCTATTGGGACATGTTGATGTGTTCGTTTGAGCTCTCGTGTGTATATTCAGACATGTGTGTCCTTCTCTAAGACTAATCTATAGCATGAATGTGAGTAAGGTACATATTTATGTAAGGCTGGAACTTTATTCCTTAATTGTCAAGGTGAAGCATGTCTACTTCCCATTCCACGTTGACTTTCTGACATTCAATGAACAATGACACTTTTCTGTAATCATTTGTGCTTGTAACCTTGGACTCATCATGACTCATGAAAAAATATTGTGTCCAGTGTTAGTTAACCATACAATTTTCTTTCTTTTTTTTAGTACCCAGATATGGCCACTGCAGCCACTGCTCAAATGGAGGGGATTAAGCCAGAATGGATGGCTGCCATGAAGGCTCTTGAGAATCAGAATAAATCGACGGAATTTGCCAATCGCCCAGAATGGAACAATGCCATGAAAGCGCTTGAGAATATGAAGTCACCAAATTCACCTAACAAAAAGAAGAAGAAAGGCAAGAAGGATGATAAGCCCAATGGGCAAGGGGAGAGTGATGGGGGTTCAAACAGTGCTGGAGATGAGTCATTCACTACCTCGAGTCCAGCAGTTAGCCAGGCTCCCCCACTACCTCCACCACCTCCGCCCCAGCGCATGGAGCAAGGACCACCACCTCCACAACCCCCACAACCACCTAACGGCTTTGGATATGGATATCCGCCCCCTGGAATGGGTTATGGAGCTCCAAGTCTTTACCAGCAGTATGGGTATCCGTGAGTTCATTCTTTAGTTGCTGTGTTCCATAATTTGTGTAGATAATAATCATATAATGGTGATAGAAAATAGCATAATTTGTATCTATCCATTCAACAAAAAGCTGTGTGCACTTTACAATCTTTATATTATTACTCAAGTATGCGTTAAAACACACAGAAACAATCTTCTGGGCTGTCTAGAAATAGAAAGCTAACAACACACGAAACAATCTGGGCTGCCTAAAAATAGAAAGCTAACGGTGCAAGTACCTGATTAAACCCTCAAACTGACAAGATCTTTAGCTGTCTGTTGCGGTGTACCCATTTCCACCTTGGTGAAAGTGGAAAATTCATGAAAAAGACTTTTTCCAAGAAAACGGCAGACCTTTGATGGGGTTTGAATCCACGCCATTTTAATTGCGAGCTCAGCAGCCTGATCACTGACTCCGTATTCCCTTTACTTTCCTGTTATTTTTAAAGAATTTACTTTTTCTTTAGTGTCTACTGACTTACTTCAAGGTTGTTGGGATTTTTTTCCATGCCATGTCATTTCGGACCTCTGTCGGGGTGGTGGACCTGGGTTTAGAGAGAGCTTTTTCCATTGTGAAAAAATGAAACGGTGTTTTGTTATGTTATTTTTATTCAGAAAATTGTCTACTGACTTACTTGAAAGTAATTTTTTTTCCGGACGTGTCAGGGTGGACCTGGGTTGAAGGAGCACTTTACACCCCCCCCCCCCCGGCGGCGGTGCTACTGACTGAAGTGTCTTTAGGCCATCCATGAGGGGGGGGGGGGGGCATTAACGTCTCAAGTTCTTATTCACAGTAGTATTTTAATTTTGTAAATGGGCTGATTCATCAATGTCATGCTCATAACTGTGCCTGAACTGCAACCGGGAACTGCTGCTTTTTCTTTCCTCGTCCTTACTGTCGTCATTTTCCTCTACTTCTTTTGTATGATTGTCAGACTCTTGCAACCTGCTATTTCCGGGGTTTCTTGATAGTCGAAGCAGATTTTCTGCTGTTGGAACTAAAGAGGTGAGCAGAGTAAGTCTGTAAGGACTTCTTTATTGACATCCACCCCTTAGCTCTCATATGACTTTTTGCAGTTGCGAGCGCCGTAAGAACTTTACTAAAACAAACATAAAACAAGAGAGCACCTTTTCCATGGTGAAAGAATGAAACAGGGTGTTTTGCTGTATTATTTATTAATTTTTTTCCAAAAATTAATTCTGACATTTTCATCTATTCTTTTAGGTATCAATATGGAGGATACATGCAGGGCCCATATGGAGGACCCCCACCACCTCCACCATGGGTAGGTTGAATATATTAAATCTTTCTGTGGTCTTTGGATGAGTTAAGCATGACTAATTATTCTGTGAAGGTATTTATATATATAAATATCCGAGTTTTGTTTGTAGGTCCATTCATGTATATGTTCACTGACATTGCACCCTTGAGGATGGCAGAGTGTAGCAATGCCCATGAGTGCGTTTTGTTCTGCCGATTTTTGGCCCCCGCCGCGGGGGTGTTTCGTGGGACGCACTAATGCAAAGGTTGTTGTCTTCAACTCGCTCCCACGCCGCTGTTCGTGAATGGATATGAATGAAACTTGGCAGCCAATCAGAAAAGAGGTCAATCTCGTAGTATGCAGTTTGACAACTTTGTACCCATCCAATAGACCTGCATGTTTGCCGACAATCGTCTGAAATCCGACAACCGCGAGCCGGCCGATGCTATCGCTAGGCCCATCTGTATTAGTCAATGTGCGAAGTGCGAGGCCTGGCCCACTGCCAGCGCCCCTTTTTTCCCCCGTCGGCTTTGTCGGCACTTTCGTTTTCGTGCGGACCTCCGACTGCCAACGTCGGCGTTTCCGACATAATTGTCGGAACCTGAGTAGAAATACGAATACGAAAAAGTGCGACGGCCTAAATTATCTACTTTCAGGGCTGATTCATCAATGTCACGCTCATAACTGTGCCTGATCTACATCAGGGAGCTGCTGCTTTTTCTTTCTTAATTTCTTACTATTGTCATTTTTCCTTTGCTTCTTTTGTATGTTTGTCACACTCTTGTGACCCGCTATTTCTGGGGTTCCATGAAAGTCGAAACAGACTTTGTGCTGTTTAAGCTATAGAGGTGAGCAGAGTAAGCCTGATTCCCTGTAAAGACTTCTCTGTTGTATGCAGTTGCGAGTGCCGTAAAACATCTACTAAATAAACAAAACAAATGAACATTGAGACTTTTCTCCTGTACACAGATGAACAATTTTGGTCCTGGCCCTAGCAACTTTGGAGGTCCTCGAGGCCCCCCTCCCATGTGCCCTCCACCAGGTATGGGCCCACCACCTGATCACCCAGACTTCAGGGGGCCTCCTCCGCCCCAAAGATTCCAGTACAACGATAGCCCAAGGGGGCCACCTCCACCACACATGGACAGAGGACCCAGCGGGCCAGGTGGCCCACCTGAAGGAGATTCTCCCTCGTTTCACGACCAAGGCCCACGGTTTGGAAATAGAAACATGAAACGTAAGTTAGTTTGTCAACATTTTTTAGTGTTGGGCTGAAGGGTGCATGTGGTCTTTGTTGATTATTGGGGGGGGGGTTAATTAAAAGTTTGTTTTCGTAAACTATATGCTCTGATTTTAGAATACAAGACTTCGATTAAAAAAAAATGTACTCTTTAATGCCCCTCTCCAATTTTGGTGGACTGTTTGTTCTATTTTGGAAAGGCCTCGTTGATCAGTGTGAATCTAAACTGTAAACTAGGCCAGGGCAAGATCGACGGCAAAAAGACTTGAGGCCTCGATTCCAAAACTGAGAGGAATCGAGTCCGATTTTCGAGTTTGGAAGCTGCTTCAAGTGGGCATGGCTGTTTAGAGGCCATGACTTGAACACTGCTAAAAATAGCTTTTTAACTCAAGAATCGAAACTCGAGTTTGACACAATTTGACAGACATACTGGCAAAGCCTGCACGCGTGCCAAGACAAGTTGGCTTTCACGCATTTGTGTGTGTGTGTGTGTTGTAGGTTCATTCATGCCGGTCGCATTGGTCGGGGTGTTTTTCGAGACTTGACCGGGCGGAGCGGGTGGGGGTTAAAGTGGGCTTAAAGTGCGTGCCGTGATACAAGTAGAACCTACTAATTGTGGATAAAGGAATAAGAAAAAAGAAATAAATGAACAACCTTGGCGCAATCTTTTTTTCGGGGAGGGGGGGTGGTGCCTTGAGTGTATATGCGATGGAAGTCAAACGTTGTTACTGTATGAAAACACGGGCTTTTTGCACGAATGATTAGAGTTATGTGTCCTCTATTTTCAAGACTACGAGAGTTTCAGCTTTACTGCAACCTGCGCTCCCCCAGTCTATCCCACTCCGACTCGAGTAATGCTGTCTTTCAGTTTTCCCTCTATTTAGTGGCCCAAACGTGAACTTATTCCTGCAAGTTTTCTCTTGCGTACTTTCCTCATAAAAGGGTACCAGGATCCCCTTTCCCCTGTACCCCTTATGACTGATTTGCCGTTGATCCCGATTTTTTTCACCTGATCCTGATTTTTTAACTCTAAAATCCTTATTTTTAGATTTCATAGAGTGGCAGGTCTGGTAATGTACTGCACCTATTATTGGGACGTCACGTGACATTTTTCAGGGCTTCCAGTCTTCCGCAATTTTGCGGATTTCCGCAAATTAGCAGAATTCTGCAAATGGAAAAATTTCTGTGAAAATTCGTGCCAAAAAAAAAAAAAAAAGAAAAAAAAGCTAAATAAATTTCCTTTATTGCCAAGAGTCAACAATAACCAATCCATACCGGAAGTGCTCTTTTATTTGAAAGTGTAGACAGTGTCTTTCACTTTCACTTTCTAAAGCTCAAGAAGCAGAGCACCAGCTCTGTAAACAAGAGGAAGAAATGACGATTGTGATTCAATAGATCTTGGGCCTGCCAAGAAAAGAAAACTCAAAAGAGAGCTTGATTTTTTTTACTAGACTTGTTTATTTGTAAGTTTTGTTGTTAGTTGTAGATTTAAGTTGAATAAGCTGTCAAGTTATTTAGATCTAGACTAGATCTATATATCAAGATCTAGAATCTAGAGATATTAGATCTAGATCTAGATCAAGTCAAGTGAACATTAACTGTCAAGTTTTATAGATCTAGTCGTGGATGTACAGTATCTGTACAAGGGAGAAAGCATGGCTTTGGATTTGGAAATATATGGATTAACACAAGCAGAAAAGTATGTAGACCTATGCAAAGTGTGCTTTATTTCTCACTTATTTTCTATTAAATTTAGGCTTGAATAGCCAGAAATGGCATACTTAGGATGCTCTGAAACCAAAAATTCTCAAACATAAAAGGGGCGCTGTCCCCCTTCAACCCCCTGCCAGGGCTCCGCCCTGGACCCGAAAATGCTCGAAAAATGACATCAGCTGCTAGAAGCTCTGATTTTTGTTGCATTGAGCCCCGAACAGTTGTGAATTGCTACGACATCGGTGGGGCAGGATGACCTAATACTGTTTTCTCTTTCTCTTTTGTCTAATACGAAGCAACATAGCACAGGCACATGCAAAAACTCATTCATTAATTTTGAGAGACACAGTTTTCAATCTACATGTATCTATGTCTAGTGCAAAGCCAAATTCAAATAGTGAAGGAAAAAAACATAATTAAGCAAAACTCACAAAAATTAATTTAACTTGGTAATCAGGCATTAAATTGCGTTCCCCGCGTATTTTTTGCTAATTTTGGGTCACTGATCTCAAAAATCGTATTATTTCTTAAATTTGGTCAATATTTCATAAATTTTTGGAATGAATTTTTAACTACGCCTGGGACAACATCAAAGAAGCTGCCTTATGTACTGGATCAGTCCTGTCCTGGTGCGGGTGTCTGTTTTGAAGCGAAAACTCGACTGTGGGGTGGGAGAGATTGTGCGGTAGAGATTTAGATTTTTGCCTCGATTCTCAGAGTCTAGACTAGGAACAAGGCTAAAAAAAAAAAAATAGGAGACTGGAGGCATCGACTGTGGGTGGACTCGAAGCTTTGAGTCTGTGAACAAGATCGATTCTTTGAGTCCTCATTTGGACTCGAAAGAATCGATCCCAGAGTCGATCTTGCCCTGGCCTACTGTACACTAAATACAGTGTGCTGTTTCTACTGTGTATTCATGATGTTGTAGGTGTTCTTTGGCCTCCTGTGTTTAGGATGAAGTGGAGATTTTACTCTCAGCCTGACATTTATCATCATATTTCCATTTCATACACATAGAATGTCAGTATGCTATAAATTGAATATGTATAAATTGAAAACTTAGTATGTAGTAAGTCATATAGCAAATTTAAAAAAAAGTAAATATTAAAATATTATTTGTAATCAAATTATCTTATCCCATGTCAATACTGTTTGTATGTTTTTGTTGATCACTTGAGATATTTATGCTGAAATAAGATGCAAATACTTTGGTATTTTTAGTTGAATTGGGTCTTAAAGAAATCAATTTGACTAGAATTATATTTGCTGCTATTTGAAGAATTTAAATACAAAGTTTCACTTCCCATGACAATGCTGTTTGGGATTCCTTAGAGTAGAGACAATAATAATTTTATTTTCCTTTCCTCAGAAGCACCTGGTTCTGGTAGTATTCGTTTTCAGTTGAAGAGGAAAGGCCTAAATCCATCAGATAACCCCATGGACAATCCACTTCGGGCACCAGCTGGAAAGTTTATGCGTGGTAGCAATGATTCTCTGCAGTCACCTCATGACCCCCCTGGCTTTATTCCGATGTCTGCAGGCAGTGCCAGCAAACCCATGAACAAAGGGGACAGAACAGAGGACAAAGATGATAAATCGTAAGCTTGCCATTTTCATGCTGGTTGGCAATGCTCTGCAGCCACTTAATTTTTCCTTGTATGCAGGCAATAAAATTGACTACCCACTGTTTCTAATTCCTTTAACGAGATAGTGTTGAAGACTAAAAAAGTATTTTTCATGTAGACGCTGTGTATCTCTTTATTTTTAAGCTTTTGTAACACCAGTGGTCAACTGCTGTATTAGGAAAGGCAAATCAAAATATATGGGGGGGCTGGATTTTTCTATTATAGTTTTTACTTGTAAATGTATGTTACAATTTGAACAACTCTGCCTTGTAGCCAGAGTGTTCCTGTCTTGGTGTCAGAAATGGTTCAGCTATAAAAAATACCCATTTCACTTGGAAATGATTGAAGTGAGTTCTTCTCAATGATGCATCCCACCCAGGAGATCATGATCATATGCCAGGTGGTTCTCAAAAATCAATGAGAATTTGATTGAATATATACTTAAATTACTCTGTTCTTAAATTTACTAAATAACATTTTCACACAAGAGAGCGCTTTTCTTGTCTCCTCAGGTTCGGCTATTAGCAGGAGACCACCATTATAGATCCATCGTCAATATTTCATGATAACCATTTTCATAGTTCAGAGTACTGGATGACCAGACACACACACACACACACAATTTTATCAAAAAAGGAAAAAAAACTTGGTGTTTACAGCAGTGGATCTAATGCCAGGTATTTACTTTGTGGTCAAAGTTCAGGGTTTTGTTTTTTTCAGATCCTCAGATGCAGCTGGAGAATGGCCACAGTCTCTCAAGTAAGTTTCTTTACCTACTAATACTTTTTCTCTTTATCAATGTTACTAGCAAGTATTCTAAGAACAGAAGTACAATCCTGCAGCAGACGGTATTACTTGTCTGCAGAACTTGCTAGTTGATTTCTTTTTTTTTTCAAGCCATTGTTCTTCTTTCAACTTGCTGTAAATTCAGTGGAATTCTTTTTTATGATGTTCGTCAGAGAATGGGAGGTTGGTGGGTGCTACTGGTAGGTTCTACTTCTTTCCTTTCACTTTTATTATTGTTTCTGTTGTCTGTACTTAATGACTGTTATCATATCAATGGCTTTTCTTTAATAAATCTATAAACTTCCTCAGAGATTATGTGCAGCGTGCTTTTGCATCAGTCACTAACGAGAGTGAGAAGGATCAGGTGGAGAGAGTTCTTAAAGAAAAGCTGACCAAAATTTTCAATTCCGAAGGAGGGGCTAATTCTGTGAACTGGGACGCTGAACCATTGCCAATGTAAGTCGTGCTCCATTTTTAAGAGCATCTTTCCAGAAGCTTTCGTCTTTGGTTTTAATTTGGAAGCACTCCATTTTGCCGAGACCTAGAAAATACAAAGAAAAGAAGCACATTGTGTCGCTGTTGTTGAACAACTGTATTTGACATTGTGGCTAGTTAGCTGTTTTCTCTTATAGATTTCAACCAGTTTTGACATGTTTGTCCCTTAGCAGGCTTAAAAGGATAATCAGAGAGAGGGGGGGGGGTGTCTTTTAGGGCTGGATCCTGCTCGTCAAATTTGAGAGTGGCGATTCACGATTCAGTCGGCTTCAAAGAATCGCGAGTACGCGAGCGCTCGCGGAACTGTGGTGGAACACTGACTGAAACGGAACAGTGTCATGTCAACGGAACAGTATCATAACTACGCCACTAGGCGAGCGCGAGTCCCACTCTTGGTGTTCCGCCATCCTCTCCGCCCCACACCTTTTGTTGCGCTGCTCTATCAACTGACCTCAATTAGTGACCCCCATAAATCCCCCACCATTCGCAAAAACAATGGCTCCATAAAATTCCTTCTGTCTATTGGTTGGACCCCGTTCATTTTGTTTTAATAGGGGGGTTGGACTATACCATCTTTTGTAAAATAAGGGGAGCCATACTAAGTGTTCCATTCCGTTCATGCGCTCGTGACTCGACTCAGCAGTAGGTTAAATTAAGCCACAAGGTGGTGACAGCGACAGGGGAGTGAATCGGGAATCGTTTGGCGATACTGTTCCGCTGAAGTGAATCGTAAATCGCGTTCCGCAGGAAAGAGTGACGATTCAGTTCCGTTCTCGTGACCCAGCCCTAGTGTCTTTAGCATGGGTCTCAATACTCCGCTATTTAGCGGATTTCCGCTACCGCCATGTCCTCCGCTAAACTCCGCTACAGCGAAAGCGGGTCAATCAGAAAGAGAGTTGCTGGGAGCAGAGTGACTGCCAGGCCTTGGGAATTACCCGAGAATTTGAAAAAAAAATCGCTGAGACGCGGGAAAATACATAAAAGATCTCGAATATTATTTGAAAACCAGATCCGATAACGTCTTTAAGTTCATTTTTTGCCGGTCGCGATTGTGATGTTAATTCGGCTTTTCCCGGTCTGAGAGTACGTTTCATTCGAACAGGCGGCTATGGCGGCGAGCGGAATTGTATGTGACACGGAGGCTCGACCGGAAAATCAAGATCTGAGAAATTTGTCTGTAAAAGTCTGAATACGCAACATTTGTAACATGCAGGTTCTGTATTT